TGTTGAGGAGTGATTTAACTTTCCGGTCCACAACCTCGGGAGTATCCACGCCAGTAGCACCTTTACATTGGGCACCGCTGGGTCTCCAGCGGGTGGCGGATATCTCAGGAGCGACAGGCTCAAACGCAGGTGCTAGCGGCCCAAATCCTGGACTTTGCTGTGCCAACCCGACCGTGCTGGCTTTCATATCGAAAGGACGCGGCCGACGTCCGGCAAATTCGAAAGTGTCGATCCGCAGAGACTCTTCCTGGCATCTGGCATTAATACTAGCACCGTTTACATGGGACTCCAATATCTCTCCGTTCTCCATCGCCTCATCCTCCTCAACTTCCAATGTTTCTTGTGTCGGACACTCAACGATGTCGCATTGCTTCCGAGTCTCTACCTCGGTCTCCTTTTGTCGTTGCCGTTTGGCCTTCTTCTCGCGTTTCCACTTAGCCCATTCGCTCTCGGTGCGCACAGGTGTTGATCGAAGGTTTGTTATTGGAGAAGGCGGGGGTATCGGAACAGCAGGTGGCTGAGGGCTGGGCTTCTTGGATGACTCAAGTTTAATCCCCATCCCGTCTTCACCTTTAATGGCAATCTTGGGGGATCGAGGGGCCGCCGGAAAGAATGTAGTATTGGGGCTATGACCGCCAGGAGCAGTGGATGTGGATGGCATCGGGGGGCCACCGGGGCCTGACATCGACCGTGACTGCAGACCAGCGAACAGTTCGGCAACATCAAAAGCGGACTTTGTACTGGCGGAATTGGTAGACGAAGACGTCGTAGCGGCTAATGATGTGGACAAGGTAGAGTCAGAACCAGACGCTGGAGCCATCGGCGATGTCGTTGCGGACGGTACCGCTGTCAGGCTGGCTAGTGCTGATGTCGGTGATGATATTGATAGAGCTGTCGCTGCGGGTCGCGATGAAGGCTTAAACGGGCTGGCGGACAGACCTGAAACGGGAGTTTTTCCATTTATGATATTTGATGTCGTAGTTGTCGTTACAGCCAGAGAGCCAAAAGTCTTGAAACTTCCGTGTCCAACCACTGGGGTCGCGGTATGCGAAGACGAAACAGGAACAGAGGCATCATCTATTGAGCCAAAGTTTGAGGACGATCCTGTAATGCAGACTAGGTCTAGGTGGTTGTTGGACGAAAAGGACGATGGTGATCACGCACCCTGTCTGACGGAACGCACATTATTCCGCGGGAGGCTGACGCCTTTCATCACCTCAGCAATGCGCTTCATTCTCTCCTCGTCCTTGTCTATTCCGGCCCCCTCCAACATGATCGCCATGTAGTCGAATGCCCTGGGAGTGTCAATAACAATGTCCTCTAGTAGCTTCGCCGTGAGCATGAATCCAGCTTCAAAAGCATCTGGCGAGCACTCGTGCCGTGATGCAGGACGGGAGAAGAAGTCAGCGACCAAGCGAGCATCAGCTTCCCTGCTTTCCAGTGCTGATGAAACGAGCTTGGCAACCAGGCGGAATCGATGCTCTTCCGTGAGAGCTGTAAAGTATGCATCCGCCTCTTCAAGGCTACGGACAGCAAAGAATTCCTTAACGTCCTCATCAATCTTCTTCTGTGCATCTTTTTCGGACATCTGGGCTGCAGGTGCTGCCTCAGGTTTTTCCGCCGACGAAGGCGACGGAGCTTCACCTCGTGCGGGGATCGTGCGGGGTAGGAGTTGAAGCTTCTTACGCTGTGGGGTAGCCTCCGGTTTGTCCACGTTCGTACTGGGCTTCTGGCTAGGGGCTCGGCTTGGCAGTAAACGACGGATACAGACCACTTCGTGCACTGAGGCAAACGTAGTAGTTGCATTAACAGCACCACGAGGTTGCCATTTCCTGTCACGGAGTTCGATTACATCCTATCGAAACGGGAAAGTATTAGTTGCAGACCGGACGATGACAAGCAAGCAAGCAAGATCCTACCTGAAGCATGAATCGCATACGAGGACGAACGTTGGGGCTCTTGCAGAGCTCCCTCATCTTCTGGAAGTACAAGGTCATATGTACACGTGTTATGGGAACATCCAAAAATTGGCCAGCAGTTCTCAACAACTGACACAAGTTCTCGATGTTTTCTTCCTCAGGGTTCTCCATATTACCAAGTAGCTCCTTGATACATTTGTGCATGATACGTTCGGAGAGCATCTGAAGCTTGAATAACTCGCCGATGAACTTGATAAGACCGAGACCTTGACGTTTCGCTTTCTGAGCTACGCAGTCCTCGTTGTAAAACTCGCCCTCGTTGGCTGCCTTGATTGCTTCGTCATCACTGGCTTTGGTTGCTGTACGAGCTGTGGCTCCCTTGACAACCCAACCACGCTCAAAGTCATCTTGACACCGACTAAGAAGGTACTTCCGGAAGAGCTGACCACCTGTAATAGGTTTCCCGTCGGTGCTCTTAATGCCATCACTTTGAACTTTGGGACTGATCGTTTCCATCATCTTGGAGCAGAGTCGAGCATACATCTCGCTGCGGTCGGCATCGTCAATAGCCTTCTCGTAAACGAGCCTGACGACCTGAATGAGGGTCCGTCCATCCTTTTCGTTCTCCGACTTGTTGGCCCATGCAATAATTTGGTCAGAAATCGTGTGGAAATTCTCCGTAGTGAGCTTGTTGAGGAGTGATTTAACCTTCCAGGCCACAACCTCAGGTGTATCCACGTCGATAGCGCCTTCACGTTGGGCACTGCTGGGGACCCAGCGGTTGGCAGACATCTCAAGAGCAACGGGCTCGAGCGCAGGTCGCCGCGAGGGGCGATTGAGCGAAGAAGACAGTGGAGGAAGTCCACCGAGTGAGAGTCTTAGTGACGCTACGACCCAGCTTTGTGCAACTTCCAGCCGAACAAAACCCTCCGGACCCCAGACACCTCGCATACACATGTCCTCAATTGACATACTCGCTCAGCCAGTTGTGTTGCTCAAAACAGCGATTGAGAGCGCCCTCACGCCGTCTGACGTCATCTCGTCCTAGGTCGAATCAAGTACCAGTGATCCATCAACGTCGGTGATGTCAGCAGTACCATGAAGCCTGTAAGACACACGGAAATGAATTCCCCTGCTCTCAAATAAAGGTCGCACCTCTCGGATCGCCGCATCGACCTGTGTCAACGACGTAAGTAACATGTCGACGTCGGCACCTAATGGCTGCACTACGACGCTGCCAGCCACGTCGTGCAGTCTGCGACTCCGACACAGATGCTCAGATGAATGGATGATCCTGGAGTCGACAGAGACTCAACGAATAGCTACCAGGTCGGATGTACTGTGGTAGAAGGTTAACTTCATAGGGTGTAACCTCGTGAAAGACCCCGATGTAGCGGCAATGGCGGTGAAAGAAGCAGGCTCGAGGAAGAGATCTGAATTCTGAGGACTAGGGAAAAGAATAAAGTCTTCTTATCTGTTGAAAGGGAGTTACTACCCTCAAGGTTGTGACTGGACACTTACATATAGCCATTTGCCGCGAAGGCCCCCTAGGGCTGACAAGACATGGGTATGGTAGCCTCACCGCACATGTTCGACAGCGTAATCGGACTGAAAGCGTGCTCGAAAATCTGCCCAACAAAGGAGAAGTGAAAAGCAAACGGAAGAGCGGAAGACGAAAACAATACCTGCCTAAATTGGCAAGTGACCTCATCGCGGAAGTAACACAAGTGTTCTCCGCGGAGGACGGTTCAAAGCTTCGCAACTGGGACCCGCCAACGTACACTCTGAAACACCCTGTGCGATATATCACTAGTTAGTTTCAAAGGCTTGAACCTGATTTGCAGCTTGCCTGGGAATAACGTTTCAGTTGGCGGCGGACACTCAAGTCCTGATCCAAATCCATCTTTGACGTCACAAGGTAGACATATTAATGAAGGTTTGGGTACTCACGCAAGGTTACATATTCCCCTTCAAAACGCCTTTTAGAGGTCGCAGTGTTTACGACGTCGGAGATCGTTTTCCAGGTCAGGAGTCCTACATAGGCCCCTAATGCCCTTCAGTGGTTTCACCTGAAGGTCGGTGCCATAAATGGTGGAACTCTTCAAGTTGGATTATCCACGTCGCGGTGCGACATTCTTGTCTTCTTGCGATCACAAGGGATCCCTGTGTTCCTGCACTGATAAACTTCCTTTCGTTTGTCCACACGGGTGGGGCAAAGACCTATCCCAATGAAGGACAGGTAGCACCTCTAGGTTTCAGTAACAATCTGGCCGCGGGTAAATGGTAATGCAATAACTGGAGGGAATGCGCAGTGGCCTAGCGAGCTGAGTGATTTGGGTCAACCGTAATGAATGTAAACAGATACAACAGGGAAAACACCGTTCGGCTAGATGGGTAAGCAGCCTCTGGTGCAATCCATGGTAAGGTAAATATCAATGTCCCCACCAACCACGTCTGGTCGGAAAACACGTCGCTTGCATCGACCATGTACCAGAACCAGAATGGAGGATTTTTATGTTAGGTTCGAATGGAGCACGATGTACTGATGCCTATGCCAAGGCGGAGGTATAGTTGAAAATCCTCCAACATGGATAGAGCCTCTCGCCCAGGAATATGGTAAGTAGGAAACCAGTGAATGCCATAATGAAACTCCCGCTGTCTGACACGGCGTTGTACGTTAAGTAACAACGCTTGAAGAGGGGGATATGAGCTGATTCTCATGTTTTGATTTAGCTTTTGATCACAGAATAAAAACCAATGCTTTCCTGTGGATGGATAGACTCGAGTATGGTGCTCTTAGGCGAGAGTTGGGTAGCCGTGTTTGATATACTGTTAAGCTGTAGCCTATGCTGTAAAAAAACTAGGTCAATGAATGGATAGGGAGGAAAAGCTACGCGATGTATAAGACAGATCATCATGTGTTACAGAAACCAGGTCACTCGCGAACAGAGACTAAGATTCATCAGAAAAACGATGCGAGCGATGGATGCAAACAAAGTGATATGCATATGAAGATGGGAGCGCAACTGAGGATGTAAGTAAAATCCCCAAGGAAGGAAACGAAATATGTCGATGAAGTGTTCATGACGAGACGAGCTGAAGTAACCTATCACCACTGTCAATCACCTTCTCAGCGATCCGCTTCATCCTTTCCTCGTCCCTGTCCATTGCAGCCCCTTTCAACATGATTGCCATATACTCGAATGCCTTGGGGGCGTCAATGGCAATGTCCTCTAGTACCTCAGCCATGGGCATGAATCCAACTTCGAAAGCATCTGGCGAGCACTCTTGTTGTGAAGCAGGACGAGAGAAGAAATCAGCGACCAAGCGAGCATCAGCTTCCTTGCTTTCCAGTGCCGATGAAACGAGCTTGTGGACCAGTCGGAATCGATGCTCTTCTGGGAGAACTGTAAAGTATGCGTCTGCCTTTTCAAGGTCACGGACAGCGAAGAATTCCTTAGCGTCCTCATCGATCTTCTTCTGCGCATCTTTTTCTGACATCTGGGCTGCAGGTGTTGCCTCGGGTTCTTCCTCTGACGAGGGCGACGAAGTTTCACCAGGGGCGGGGATCGTGCGGGTAGGAGTTGAAGTTTTTTTATTTATATTTATTTATTTATTTCCGATTTAAGTGCGCTGAGGAGTACATGCTATGTAGCACTATGCTTAACTAATCAGCGTGGGGTCCCGTACCCCGCCTGCTCCCTGGGTGTATGAGTGCCCCACCGGCCCGGGCTGTAAGGCCCTCCAGTGGTCCGCCACGTTCCTGCCACGCGTTTTACTCATCTTACCCTGGCGTAGTGGGATAGGCTCGAGACGTCTGCGTGATTGATCATTTCTGACACGTACCCGTCTGCACTGAGCAGAGTACCGGACGACGGGGTAGGGTGGCGTCTGCCGTGGAGGTTCGCGCGTGAGCATTTGGTTCTGGGTACGACTTGGGGTGGAGTCTTGTGCTGAGTTGAAGTTTCTTATGCTGTGGAGTAGGTTCCGGTTTGTCCAAGGCCTTACTAGGCTTCCGGCTCGGTTTGGGTTCTATGGCAAGCTCGGGGTTCCGACTGAGCATCAAGAACGTGTCAGAGCTCCAGTTCGTGCGTGTCATTGACTCGCGCTTGATATCCTTCTTGCCAGCGAAAACACTGCTCTGACCCATGACCGTCGGAGAGACCTTGCTGATTTTGCCGAAATGCGAGAGATCGCCTGATTTGGTTGGCGGTCTAGGTTGCGAGCCTCCAGCCACCACCCAACCATCAGGAGAGGGCTGAGCGTTGCGATCGGCACCCCGTTTCGAACCACCTCGAGACTTGCTAAATTGCCGCTGGAACGCCTGGGTTTCTCGAGCAGCCTGGATATCATATCTTCGAGCATCTACGTACAACGATGAACAACGGGTACGAACCGCTTCGTGTACTGCGGCAAGCGTAGTAGGCGCATTAACCGCGTTACGAGGTTGCCATTTCCGGTCACGGAGTTCAATCACATCCTAATGAAACAACCAAGTGTTGGCTGGTGAACGATGAAAAGCAAAGGAGGATGATCCCACCTGGAGCACGAACTGCATGCGAGGACTAACGTTCAAGCTCTTGCAGAGCTCCCTCATCCTCTGGAAGTACACGTCCATATGTGCACGCGACTTGGGAACATGCAAAAGTTGGCCAACAGTTCTCAACAACTGACACAGACTCTCGATCTCTTCCTTCTCGGGGGTCTCCACATTACCAAGCAGCTTCTTCACACACTCGTGCATGATGCGTTCAGTGAGCGTCTGAAGCTTGAACAACTTGCCGATGAATTTGATGAGGCCGAGACCCTGACGTTTCGCCTTCTGAGACGCGTAGTATTCGTTGGAGTAGAGCTCGCTCTCCTCGCCATTCTTCTCGTTGGCTGCCTTGATTGCTTCGTCTTCGTTGGCTTCGGCTGCCGCCGCACGAGCTGTGGCTTCCTTGGCAAGCCAACCATGCTCAAAGTCTTCTTGACACCGATTGAGCAAGTATTTGCGGAAGAGCTAACCACCTGTGATGGGTTTCTTGTCGGTACTCTTAATGCCATCATCTTGGATCTTGGGACTGATCGTTTCCATCATCTTGCGACAGAGTCGGGCATACATCTCGCTGTGGTCAGCATCGTCAATAGCCTTCTCGTAAACGAGCCTGATAATCTGTATGAGGGTCCGTCCATCCTTTTCGTTCTCCGATTCGTTGGCCCATGCAATAATTTGGTCAGAAAAGGGGTCGAACTTCTACATTGTGAGCTTGTTGAGGAGCGATTTAACTTTCCGGGCCACATCCTCAGGTGTATCCTCGTCGATAGCACCTTGACGTTGGACACTGCTAGGGACCCAGCGATTGACAGACATCTCAAGAGAAGTAACGGGCTCAAGTGCAGGTCGCCGCGAGTGGCGATTTGGGCGAAGAAGACAGGAGGTCCACCACGGGAGGGTCTCAGTGGCGCTACAACCCAGCCTCGTGCAACTTCCACCCAAATCAAAACACACGACACCCCAGACACCTCGCACACACATGTCCTCAATTGACATCCCCTCAGCCAATTGTGTTGCTCAAAACAGCGATTGAGAACGCCCTCATGCCGCTTGACGTCATTTCATCCTAAGTTGAATCAAATACCTGCGGTCCATCAGCGTCGGTGAAATCAATAGTACCATCAAGCCTTTAAAACACACGGAAATGAACTGCTCTGCTCTCAAGTAGAGGCCGCACCTCTCGGATCGCCGCATTGACCTGCGCAAATGACGTAGGTGATAGGTCCACGTTGGCACGCAGTCTGCGACCCCGACACAGATACTCAAGTCAATGGATGCCCCCGGAGTCGACCGAGACTAGGCCATTAGCTACCAGGTGGGATGTACCCATGGTAGAAGGTCAACTTCACAGGTTGTAAGCCTTGTGAGAGACAGCGATGAAGCGGTGAGGGCAGTGAAAGTAATAGATGCGAGGAAGAGTTCTGAAATCTGAGGACCAAGGAAAAAGAACAGTGTCTTCTAATCTGTTGAACGGGCGATGCTTGTGAGTTCCCTTTAAGGTGTGTGACTGGGCACTTACATATAGCCATTTGTCGCGAAGGCGTACATCACCCTACGTCTGACAAAACATGAGTAGGGCATCCTCGCTACACATGTTGGACAGCGTAATCAAACTGAAACCTGCCCAACAAAAGCGAAAGTGAATGGCAGACGGAAGAACGGACGACGAAAACAACACCTGCCCAAATTGGCAAGTCACGTCTCGGAAATAAAACAGGGGTTTTCCACGGGGGACGGTTCAAACCTTCGCAACAGGGACCCATGGAAGAACACTCTGAAATTCCCCATGCAGTGTATCAAAGGTTTGTACTAGGTAGTTTTAATGACTTGAATCTGATACACTGTTCCAAATCCATCTTTGACGTCACAAGGTAGACATATTAATGAAGGTTTGGGTACTCGCGCAAGGTTACATATTCCCCTTCAAAATGCCTCTTAGGGGTGACAGTATTTATGACGTCGGAGATCGTTTTCCAGGTCAGGAGTTCTACATAGGCCCCTAATGCCCTTCAGTGGTTTCACCTGAAGGTCGGTGCCTTAAATGGTGGAACTCTTCAAGTCGGGTTATCCACGTCGCGGTGCGACATTCTTGTCTTCTTGCGATCACAAGGAATCCCTGTGTTCCTGCACTGATAAACTTCCTTTCGTTTGTTCACACGGGTGAGGCAAAGACCTATCCCAACGAAGAACAGGTAGCACCTCCAGGTTTCAGTAGCAGTCATGGCCGCGGGTAAACGGCAATGCAATAACTGGAGGGAGTGCGCAGTGTTATTTAGGTCAACCGTAATGAATGTAGACAGGTACAGCAGGGAAAACACCGTCTAGCCGGGTGGGTAAGCAGCCACGTCCGTTCGGAAAACACGTCGCTTGCATCGACCATGTACCAGAAACAGAAAAGTAAGTAGGAAACCAGTGAATGCCATAATGAAACCCACCGCTATCTGGCACGGCATTGTACGTTAAGTAACAACGCTTGAAGAGAGGGATACGAGCTGATTCTCATGTTTTGATTTAGCTTTTGATCACAGAATAAAAACCAATGCTTTCCTGTGGATGGATAGATTCGAGTATGGTGCTCTTAGGCGAGAGTTGGGTAGCCGTGTTTGATATACTGTTAAGCTGTAGCCTATGCTGTAAAAAAACTAGGTCAATGAATGGATAGGGAGGAAAAGCTACGCGATGTATAAGACAGATCATCATGTGTTACATAAACTAGGTCACTCGCGAACAAAGACTAAGATTCATCAGAAAAACGATGCGAGCGATAGATGGAAACAAAGTAATATACATATGAAGATGGGAGCACAACTTAGGATGTAAGTAAAATCCCCAAGGAAGTAAACGAAATGTGTGTCGATGAAGTGTTCATGACGAGACGAGCTGAAGTAACCTATCACCACCGTCCATCACCTTCTCAGCAATTCGCTTCATTCTCTGTTCGTCCTTGTCAGTTCCAGCCCCTTTCAACATGATTGCCATGTACTCGAATGCCTTGGGGGCGTCAATGGCAATGTCATCTAGTAGCTCAGCCATGGGCATGAATCCAGCTTCGAAAGCATCTGGTAAGCACTCGTGTTGTGAAGCAGGACGAGAGAAGAAGTCAGCGACCAAACGAGCATCAGCTTCCTTGCTTTCCAGTGCCGTTGAAACGAGCTTGTCAACCAGTCGGAATCGATGCTCTTCGGTGAGGGCGGTGAAGTATGCGTCCGCCTCTTCAAGGTTGCGGGCAGCAAAGAATTCCTTAGCGTCCTCATCGATCTTCTTCTGCGCATCTTTTTCTGACATCTGGGCTGCAGGTGCTGCCTCGGGTTCTTCCTCTGATGAGGGCGACGAAATTTCACCAGGGGCGGGGATCGTGCGGGGTAGGAGTTGAAGTTTCTTACGCTGTGGAGTAGGTTCCGATTTGTCCAAGTCCGTACTGGGCTTCCGGCTAGGTGCTCGGCTGGGTTTGGGTTCCATGGCAAGCTCGGGGTTCTGACTGAGCATCAAGAACATGTTAGAGCTCGAGTTCGTGCGTGTCATTGACTCGCGCTTGATATCCTTCTTGCCAGCGAAAACGTTGCTCGGACCCATGACCATCGGAGCGGCCTTGCTGATCTTGCCGAAATGCGAAAGGTCGCCTGCTTTGGTTGGGGGTGTAGGTTGCGAGCCTCCAGCCACTGCCCAACCGTCAGGAGAGGGCTCAACGTTGCGCTCGGCACCTCGTTTCGAACCACCTCGAGACATGCTAAATTGCCGCTGGAACGCCTGGGTTTCTTGAGCAGCCTAGATATCATATCTTTGAGCATCTAGGTGCAACGATGAACGACGGGTACAAACCGCTTCGTGCACTGCGGCAAGCGTAGTAGGCGCATTAACCACGTTACGAGGTTGCCATTTCCGGTCACGAAGTTCAATCACATCCTAATGAAACAGCCAAATATTAATTGGTGAACGATGGCAAGCAAACATCGACAATCCCACCTGAAGCATGAACTGCATACGAGGACTAACGTTCGGGTTCTCGCAGAGCTCGCTCATCCTTTGGAAGTACACATCCATATGTGCATGTGCCTTGGGAACATCCATAAATTGGCCAGCAGTTCTCAACAGCTGACACAAGCTTTCGATCTCTTCCTCCTCGGGGTTCTCCATATTGCCAAGCAGGTTCTTGACACATTCGTGCATGATACGTTCAGCGAGAATCTGAAGCTTGAATAACTCGCCGATGAACTTGATAAGACCGAGACTCTGGCGTTTCGCTTGCTGAGTCACGTAGTCCTCATCAGAGTAGAGCTCGCCCTCGCCGGCTGCCTTGATAGCTTCTTCATCACTGACTTTGGCTGCCGCTGCACGAGCCGTAGCTTTCATGCCAACGCAACCACGCTCAAAGTCTTCTTGACACTGATTGAGAAGGTATTTGCGGAAGAGTAGTCCACCTGTAATGGGTTCCCTGTCAGTGCTCTTAATGTCATCATCTTGAAGCCTGGGACTGATTGTTTTCATCATCTTGCGACAGAGCCGGGCATATATCTCGCTGCGGTTACTATCGTCAATAGCCTTCTCGTAAATGACCCTGATAACCTGTATGAGTGTCCGTCCATCCTTTTCGTTCTCTGACTTATTGGCCCATGCAACAACTTGGTCAGAGATCGAGTCGAAGTTCTCCATAGTGAGCTTGTTGAGGAGTGATTTAACATTCCGGTCCACAACCTCAGGAGTAGGCGCGTAGGTGGTGCCTTTACGTTCGCCACTGCTAGGGACCAAGCGGTTGGCAGACATCTCAAGAGGAGAAATGGGTTCAAGTGCAGGTGGTTGAGAGTGGCGATTTGAGCGAAGAAGACAGTGAAGGAGGATCACTGAGGGAGGGTCTCAGTACTTGACACTACAACCCAGCCTCGTGCAACTTCCAGCCAAACAAAACCCACGGGACCCCAGACACCTTATACATTATCATGGTGTCTGGGCGGACAGTCCTACAGGTCCTCAATTGACACACTGGCTCAGCCAATTGTGTTGCTCGAGTCAACGATTGAGAGCGCCATCACGCCGTTTGACGTCATCTCGTCCTACGTCGAATTAAATACCAATGGTCCATTAGCGTCGGTGAAATCAGTAGTACCATCAAGCCTGCAAGACACACAGAAATGAACTGCCCTGCTCTCAAGTAGAGGCCGCACCTCTCGGGTCGCTGCATTGACTTGCGCCAACAGCGTGGATGACACGTCAATGTCGGCACCCAACGGCTGCACCACAACACCGCCAGCCACGTCGTGCAGTCTGCTCCGACTATACGCATGCTCAAGCGAATGGATGCTCTCGGAGTCCACCGAAACTGAGCGAACAGTTACTGCTGGTGGTAGAAGGTCAAACTTAATAGACTGTAAGGCTGGTAAGAGACAGAGATGTAGCGATGAGGGTAGTGAGGAAACGGACTCGGGGAAAGTTCAGAATTCTGAGGACGAGGCAAAATAAACAAAGTCTTCTTTATCTGTTGGAAGGGCGATGCTTGTGAACTCGATTCAAGGTGCGACTGGACACTTACATATAGCCATCTGCCGCGAAGGCGTACATCGCCCTAGGGCTGACAAGACATGGGTAGGGAGGTCATTCCACACATGTTGGACAGCGTAATCAGACTGAAAACGTGTTCGAAAATCTGCCCAACAAAGTGAAGGTGGAGACGGAAGAACAGACGACAAAAACAACACCTGCCTAAATTGGCAGGTCACATCTCGGAAGTGAAACAGGGGTTTTCCACGGAGGACGGTTCAAAACCTTTCGCAACTGGGAATGGAAAATACCCTGTGCAATGTATGAAATGGTTTGTACTAGGT